GACCGATCTGAAGAGAAGAGAAATTGTATACCAATGACAGCAAATTATGGTATAGGCAGAGAAGGGTGCCCCCTGATAACATTGGCCTGGGGAGCTACAGTATTTGTGTGCGCTGTGCTTCAATATTTCTGCTTTGCTAGTCACAGATATAATTGTTGATTTCTGATCCTATAGGTATAATGCCAGTTCAGGGAACGAAGACAGTTCTCAGACCTCAGGAGCCTATATCTTCCGACCAAACCAGTCAGAGCCAATTTCAATATCTCAGAATGTCCGGAGTTATCTGGTGAAGGTTAGATGTCTTCTTCACAACCTATAGAAGGACTGTCCTGTATGCCGCTAAATTAATATCTATCATGGATCTATTACATGACCCCCCCATCCTATAACTGGCCTGTATCAATCTCTGATCTATTATCACATGACCCCCTCATCCTATAACTGGCCTGTATCTATCTCTGATCTATTATCACATGACCCCCTCATCCTATAACTGGCCTGTATCTATCTCTGATCTATTATTACAGTACATGACCCCTATCCTATAACTGTCCTGTATCCATCACTGATCTATTATTACAGTACATGACTCCCATCCTATAACTGCCCTGTATCTATCTCTGATCTATTATCACATGACCCCCTCATCCTATAACTGCCCTGTATCTATCTCTGATCTGTTCTTACATGACCCCCCTCATCCTATAACATGGCCGTGTATTTCCACTGATCCATTATATGTCCCAACATTCATCTCCTTCTGCAGAATTCCCTGGTGCAGGAGGTGTATCAGAACTTCTCAGCGTGGTGCTCACAGGTGGTCCGTCTGTACTCGGATCAGAAGTATCTGGAGCTGGAATGGACGGTGGGACCTATTCCAAGAAGGTGAGCCAACAAATGTGTTTAAAGGAAAGTACAGAATGTGTTCATTACACAGCTTATTATTGTTTCATTCCAAAATGTCCATACAGATGTGGCCGCTGTCAGTCTGTCATCCCCTTGAACAGACACAGCGGCCTCATCTCTCAGCGGCAATCTGTATGTAATTGTTCATGGAAGGATTTACCTGCGGTCCGCGTAGACGATTGTCCCTGGCCCGTCCGTGTACTAGATGGGTGCACATTGCATGTTATCGTTGTTCTTTGTATCATTTGTATTTCCTCATTGAATGATCGTTATATTAAGTGATTTAATTGTCCTCTCTTCATTTCAGGGACAGTAATGGGAAAGAAGTCATCAGCCGCTTTGACACCAATTTGCAGACAGATGGATTATTTTATACTGATGCAAATGGAAGGCAAATATTACAGAGAAGGTAATTGCCCTTCCTGACTGTGGTGGGGGGACAGACTCCATGTCACATAGCTCCCCCTGTCTGTGTCACCCTGTGGTGGGAGGGACAGACTCCATGTCACATAGTTCCCCCTGTCTGTGTCACCCTGTGGTGGGAGGGACAGACTCCATGTCACATAGCTCCCCCTGTCTGTGTCACCCTGTGGTGGGGGGGACAGACTCCATGTCACATAGCTCCCCCTGTCTGTGTCACCCTGTGGTGGGAGGGACAGACTCCATGTCACATAGCTCCTCCTGTCTGTGTCACCCTGTGGTGGGAGGGACAGACTCCATGTCACATATCTCCACCTGTCCGTATCACCCTGTGGTGGGGGGACAGACTCCATGTCACCTAGCTCCTCCTGTCTGTGTCACCCTGTGGTGGAAGGGACAGACTCCATGTCACCTAGCTCCTCCTGTCTGTGTCACCCTGTGGTGGGAGGGACAGACTCCATGTCACATAGTTCCTCCTGTCTGTGTCACCCTGTGGTGGGAGGGACAGACTCCATGTCACATAGCTCCCCCTGTCTGTGTCACCCTGTTGTGGGAAGGACAGACTCCATGTCACATAGCTCCTCCTGTCTGTGTCACCCTGTGGTGGGAGGGTGTTAGTGAGCGCCATCACACTGTTGGCCTCCATCAAGCTGCATAAATAACACACCCTTCCATTCTATCTAATAAGGCAATCCCCCACACTGCACAGTTGTTGGTAGATCTAAGATGCGTTGTACAATCAGATTGAAGTGTGACTGGTCACTTTTACTTGCACTTTGACAGACAGTCACCCTCTTCCATAGGCTGGGTGATTCCTGTTTCTTTTAACCGTTTAGTAATTGGCTGTCTGTGTTTTGGTACAGGAGAAATTCCCGTGACACATGGGCGTTCAAGCAAACAGAACCAGTGGCTGGAAACTATTACCCAGTAAACAGCCGAATCTTTATCAAGGTGAGTGACATATGGATGTGTCCGGAGGGCATACAGATCTGCTTTTTTATATATGTACAGTGTGTGGCCAAAGTTTGTGGACACCTGATCATCACACCTATATCAACTTGTTGGACATTCCATTCCAAAAGCATGGCCATCAGTATGGAGTTGCTCCCTCTTACCATCATGTGCTGTAAGTAGGGATGCACCGATACCGGTATTTTGGTACCGAGTACCGATAATTTTTTTTCGGTACTCACTCACGGTACCAATCACCGAGTAACGGAAGTCCCATTTAGGAAGCCAGGTGGCGTGTAATGACTCGCCACCCGGCTTCCCGATTAACAAGAAAGTCTGTCCCCTCTTACCTTGGTATGTCCAGCCTGTCACCCCTAGGGCCTCTCCAGCCAGAATGCGGCCTTCCTCCGGTACGCAGCCGGAGCCGTCTGGCCGGCCAATCAGGAAGCCGGGCGCCGTGTAATGACGCAACGCCCTGCTTTCTAATTGGCCGGGAGGCCAGCTCCATGGTCCCTCGTCATGAGATGACGAGGGAGCATGAAGCCAGCTTCCCGGCCAATCAGAATGCCGGGCGCTGCGTCATTACACGGCACCTGGCTTCCTGATTGGCCAGCTTCCCGACCAATCAGGAAGCTGGGCAGCGCATCATTACAAGCTGCCCGGCTTCCTGATTGGCCTGAAAGTCGGCTCAATGCTCTCTCATCACAAGTGACGAGAGAGCATGGAGCCGCTTCCCGTCCAATCATGAAACGCTGCCCGGCTTCCTGATACAGGAAGTACTCATGCTAGGCATCGGAGCATTTGGGCGAGTACGAGTACTCAACTAAATATTCGACATAGGCACGGATACCAGTATCGGTGCCTCCCTACAAATTAGTAAACTAAACATAAGATTGTAGTCCATCATGAGTGAGCTTGAAGCGGTGACTACTATATAACAAAAACACCATGTGCTTGTATAGTGGGTGTGAGTCTCGGGTAAATGGAGAATTGCTCTATGGTGGGCGGCGGCAGAATAGTCATATGCTGTATGGTGAGTGAGTGTGTGAGTGTGTGTGTGTGTGTGTGTGTGTGTGTGTGTGTGTGTATCAGGTGAGGGGAGAATCGCCATATGGTGAATGGGTATGTCCGGGTAAAGGTAAAATTGCCATGTGCTGTATGGTGGCTGTGCATGTCAGGTAAAGGGATGATCACCATGTGCTGTATGGTGGCTGTGCATACCAGCTAAAGGGATGATCACCATGTGCTGTATGGTGGCTACACATACCCAGTAAAAGGATGATCCCCATATGCTGTATGGTGGCTGTGCATTCCAGGTAAAATTGAGGATCACCATGTGCTGTATGGTGGCTGTGCACACCAGGTAAAGGGAGGATGACAATGTGCTGTATGGTGGCTGTGCACACCAGGTAAAGGGAGGATGACAATGTACTGTATTGTGGCTGTGCATGTCAGGTAAAGAGATGGTGGCAATGCATGTCTGATGATAATAAATCTGACCCTCCGATGAGCTCAGACAGGCCAGTGATGTGGAGAAATCACAGAAGAGGTAAAGCTGTTTGTCTCCTCCAGGACAAGAATATCCAGCTGACTGTTTTGACCGATCGCTCCCAAGGAGGATCCAGCATTGTGGACGGGTCAATGGAGCTCATGGTGAGTTCTGTTTACACTGCTGTAAGGTATATGCTGAACTTGGCTTTGCCAGTGAAGAGATTGGTGCATGTTAGTTGACTCAAGTCTGTAGCCATAGACATTTAAGGAGGCCCCGCCCAGTATGCATTGTTTTAAATTAACTTCTCCCCTAAACAGAAGGGCTCCCAAAAATGTAGATTGCAGGTAGTGATTGGCCTACCCATAGCTACAATGAAATCTAAATTCTTTGCTCTATGTCCGTTCCTTCATTCTCATAGTTTCGAAGCCCTGAGGAAGGGGGTTGTGTCAGCGTCGGCTGTTTGATCACCGCATTTATTAAACCTTTTTTTATGGCCTCTAACATCGGTTTTGGTCTGGCTCTCTCCTGTTTTCTGTCCCTGAGTTGCTCCCAGTATCTTCTATTGGAGACTGTACGTCTTTGAGCTGCCTAACCATAACCTACTGAACTACCTACAAATCACGCAAGAGACTCCTCCCAGTGTCTCTGACATATTCACGCGCTTTGAATATAAGAGTAAGTCTGTCATGTGAATTAATATGGAGGCTGAATGTTCCTTCTGAAAATGCTGGTTGTCTGGCTGTAATACTAACACTCACTTCAGTACTTTGAATTACCAAGCTAAAAAAAAGCATTTGGATCAGAACTCGCTGACCCGACCATCTTGTTGGGATCAAAGCCCTACTCCCAGGAAGCCATACACTGCTCTAATGTGGCCAAAATATCAGAAACAGCTGTATGCAGTTGGAATACTTGGCTCTGTAATATTTGGCTATATCAGTCCTATACACATGGGGTTCTCTGTGTGCATCTAGCTGATTGGATGCAAAGGAAGGATTTGCATGGCTCCGCCCAGTGTCTTAAAATGGGAAATAATCCTCTTATTTTGGGATATGTGATGGGAGGAGACATGTGAATACCTAATGTCCTAAGAAGGATGTATTGTGCTACGCATGGATTGAGTTGGAGGGATTTTGTTTGCTTTAGTCCCTTCTTACCATATCCTGTATTGCAGGGCTAGGCAACGTCAGCACTCCAGCTGTGGTAAAACTACAGATCCCATCATGCTTCTGCCCCTATGAGCCATTGCTGTGGCTGTTAGTCTTGCAGTGCTTCACAGGCTTTTTCAGGAAATGGTCATTGCCAGTCAGTCAGTCTCTGTCATGGTATTAATGCTTGACTTATGTAGTCTGGTTATGATCATTGTAAGGGATTAGAAGATTTCTACCAATGAGGAGTGATGGGTCTCATCATGCAATGCATGCTGGGTTTCACCGGACAATGGCTATGGTTCCCCCCACCCCCATACAGATTATCACTATTTACAAGCTATGTACTAATGACATTGTTCTTGCTGCCAGGTACACAGGCGTCTCCTATATGACGACTTCCGTGGGGTAGGAGAGGCACTACTGGAGCCAGGACAGTACATGGAGGGTCTTGTAGTCCGGGGGAAGCACCTGCTGGTACTGGACACCCCAGAGGCCTCTGCCAATGTTCACCGCAAGCTGGCCTTACAGCAGTACTTGTCACCACAAATAGTCCTCTCCACCGGACAAGGAGCGCCCTATGGAAAAGGCCAGCCGACCAATCGGGTGAGGGGAAAGTTCATTGACATCATTGCCTGTTATAAGATGTTTTTGTGGTTTTGTCTGAAAATCTGTAATACAAACGATTGAAACTGAAAGGTGATTATGAACAGTACCTGTCAGAACTTTAAAATGTATTGAAAACCCTCTAAAAAAAAAATTTAATATATTGCAACTTGAAAGGGCTTAGATGAGGGGGCTGCATTTGTTCCCCCCCTCCCTCTAATTTGCCTGCTAATCCTGCCAGTAACACACATTCTGTAATCGTGACAGCTTATCTATGGAGCAGAGTTGTCACCCTAGGATAGCATGGAACACAACACCTCCTCATCTCTATAATAGAGGGAGGAGGTGTTCCGCAGTCCACAGCAAGAGCTAGGAACAAGATAATTAATAAGAGTAGAGCACAAAAAGCAATCAGTTCAGCAGATTTCTGGCAGGATCACCAGGGATTCACTTTGCACTCTTTGAACAGATATAAAACAAATCACTTTCAATGGTATATTTAAAACTGAAGTTTAATGAGGACTGTCATTGGACTGAGCAGCGAGTCTGCAGGGTGCACAATGTGCAATTTAAAATAAAAGTCTGCAGAAAGCCCATAGTCTGATGGTAAGAGACAGACAGTGAGCAAAGGCCAGTGTGATGATGCTTTATCCAAGGGGTGTGTCCATGACAGCCTGAGCTCACAGAATGCTGGTGGAACAGTACTGGGTGTCATTCATCACAGAAGAGAACCACCCCTTGGACAGAGCAGCGAGTCTGCAGAAAAGAGCGCAAGGTTCACAATGCTCCATTTAAAAGAGAACTATGGGGTTAAGGCTTTTCCCCATAGTTCTCCTTAGGGTAACGGGAGGACACAAATTAGCGTCCTCCCGTCACCCAAAGCTCAGTATACCACGAGCTGCTGTTCGCGGTATACTGAGATGCTGAAGCGGATCCTGACAATTGTGCCGGGATCTGCCTAGCTGCGTGACTGACAGCTGGTCCGGCCTATCTGGAGGCAGAGCCAGCGGTGCCCGTCCGTTCCGCCAGTCAGCGCTGGCGGATCGGAGCGGGGGGAATCCAGCCCCTCCCCTGCCACGGCAGAGAGCGGAGCGAACGCCGGTATCTGTTCGCTCACTTCCCGATCTACTGAGCCGACCTGTGACAGTCTCATTGTCACAGGTCGGCTAGAACTATGAGGTGAGTGAAAATCACTCACCTCATAGTTCTCCTTTTTTAAAGTGAAGAATTCTGCAGAAAGCCCCCAGATTCTGATTCAGGTTGGAGACCAACAGTGTTTCAGTAATCCCGCATTGACATTTTCCCACTGCTCAGTTTTCAGCTCTGCGCGCTCCGCTCCCAGACAACCTCCACCTGCTCACCTTCGCCCAGCATGAAGCCAATAAGATCCTCCTGCGTCTGGAGCACCCCTTCCAAGGACATGAAAGCGGTAATTACTCCAAGCCCGTCACAGTGAATCTCAAGGTGAGACCGCAGCACTTGTCTTCTAATGATTGACACAAGTGTCTAAGAAAGATCTAGCTTGTTCTACTTTAGGCAACACCGACAGTTCTTCTTTCAGATGAACATTTAAAGCAATGACTTCTTATTGCAGGAGCTTTTCTCTGCCCTGACCTTGTCGAACTTCAAGGAAACAACCCTGGCTGCTAATCTCCCGAAGGACAAGATGAAGCGCATGCAATGGAAAATCTTCCAGAACAACCTCAGCACTCCGGTTGTGGTAAAGTACAAATCCCATCAAGCCTCGGTCTTTGAGAGTCATGTGGCTGTCAGTCTTGCAGTGCCTCATGGAACTTGTAGTGCTGGTTTGCCAACCCCCTGACCTATCACATGAAAGGACCTATTGCAGGAAACAAGAGGGGGACATGGGAAATTCCTTCTAAAAGGAAGATTAAAGTTCAAGTGTGAGCAAAAAGTCATTGGGGCATTAGCGCGGTACCTCTAACGATGTCACCAACGAAATCCCGGCATTGAAAAATGACAGTCAGGGCCAGAACACAGCAAGTGGCTCTCTCTGCAGCTCCTCCATTAATAACCTGCTTTGTATTCAAGGCATATTGTGATTGGACAAGAGGAGATAGCCGCCTTGTCCAATCACAGAACGCCTTCTATCCTTTGAAAAGAATACAAGAAAGTGAATCTATCAAAACTAGAGCAGACGTGCATGGCAACCAATCATCTTTTCTCTTTCATTTTTAAATCTTAACTGAACAAATTGAAGAAAGAAGCTGATTGGTTGCCCTGGGCAACTGCTCAAGTTTTGATAAACTCCTCCCACAATGTTTTCTGAATGGAGGAGCTGCAGAGCAAGCGACCCCCACTGCTGAACTTCAGTGGTGACATCACAGCTGCAGCAGCCACCACTGGTAGTAGTACCGCACATCAATCACATGACCGTATTGCTATCTGGTGAATGCTCCAATGACGTGTGCGCCCAACACTTCAGCTTCAATGATTTCCATACAACAGCCGTAGATTCAGACATGCGACCGATTGTCCCTTTTGCTGTGCTGCTCTTAGTACTAGTAACCTCGACTTCTGCATTCTTTTCATTGGAAGGTCACTTTGTATTGCCCAGTTTTCTTTCAATAGCTTAGACATCCAGGAAAAGCTTGGACACATCATAGATCCCAGCACTTCACTTGCTGCATGCTTGTTTCAGGCCTATGGCTCACTAAGTAGTACAGCAAGGACCAGGGGGTGTGCCTCTGCTCTTAAAGACATTTTGTTGACCCTTTGCTTGCATTCAAGAAGCAGAGAGACCCCCCCCTTGGCAATGTTGGTGTAGCTCTGCCATACTGAACAGAGAAATAAAAGGAAATGTTTACTTTTCTGAAAATTCTAGTCACTTGGCTTCAGAACAGACCCCAATGGCTTAAATCAGGGGGAGGCAACCTTGCTGTGCCAGCTGTTATGGAGCTACAAGTCCTATGAGGCATTAGAAGACAGCCAGTGGCTGGCAGAGGCACGATGGCTTCTGTAGTTTCACCACAGCTGGAGTGCAATGCCTACCTCTCTATTAAAAGGAGAACTATGAGGTGCTTTTCACTCATCCTCATAGTTAGAGCCGACCTGGGACAATGAGACTGCCACAGGTCAGCTCCATTGATGGGGAAGTGAGCAGAAACATGCAGCGATCTGCTCACTTCTTGATAGTCTCCCTGGAGAGTTGTGACTGACATCACCGCTCCCCGCAGGGATTTTCCCCTCTCCGATCCTCCCGCGCTGAGTGGAGGAACAAAGACGGGGAAGGCACAGCTGGCTCTGCCTTTTAGATAGGCAGAGAGAGCTGTCACTCACGCAGCTGGGTGGATCTCGACAATATCGCAGGCTATTACTGAGCTTTGGGTCACGGGAGGAGGTTAGTATATGTCCTCCTGTGACCCTAAAGAGAACTATGGGGGGGGAAACCACTTACCCCATAGTTCTCCTTTAAATACTTGGGAGTTGATTTATAAACTATTCTCACGGCTATTCACTAGATGGAGCAGAGGAGCATAGATAATTCCTGTGTTCCTCTGCTCCATCTAGTGGCCATATAGGGAGATTCACACAGTGAAGAGCTGTGCAAATGGCTTATATATATATTTCACTGACGTGGAACATGTATGCAATTCAGGAGTCATGTCACTTGCTGCATGCTTGTTCTCAGTCAGTGACTCATTCTTGTTCTGGGTCAATGCCTTAAACTACTGAAGCCAGAGAACTAGCATTCCTGTATTAAGTCAGCACTGGCAGCCTACATATTTCTTTCAGCACACATGTACTTTTAAAGGGCGTCCATGGTCAAAAGCTAAAAAGAAATCTGTATTTCTATATTGAATTTCCGTAAGTTCAATTCCACTCCTAATAACCAGATCCATCTATTACACTGGTCACTAAATGGCAGATCATGGTACAGACACCAACTGAATGACCGCTCTGTCTGGATTGTGATCCAGACCCTCAGCTCACGGAAAACTTTACATATTGAACCTCATTTTTAGTTCACTACCCCTGATCTAGAAGTTACTTATTGAAGATGGCCATAAGATGTACTTCCTCGATGCATTGACACCATTTCACTCAGTCTTGTGAATATCCACTTCCTGGTGTCACCATTCTCAAAGCCTGCCTTCTGAAGTACAATTCAGCATCTGAACAATGTAACATTATCATTATTTGCTGCAAGCAATGTATGATGGGATATGTGGTATGTAGAAATCATGCAAACACTAGGAATCCAGGAAGTTGTTGGAAGTGATGGGATGATAGAAGGCAGCACTCACTACATAAAAGGGATTTTACAAGTCAGCTTTGATTGTATGATCAGTGTGTATTCCTGTTATAACAGGAGAGTGTACGCTGGGACTTTACAACTCCTTTTTGTCTTCTCTCTAGACTCCGCTGCAACCTCTCGCCACAGCAGTCCGGCCCTGGACCCCACAAGTGTCACTCTTCAGCCGATGGAAATCCGCACCTTCCTGGCTACAGTGCAGTACAGGAAACACGCCAAGTGGGGGAACTGGCGACAGTGAAGAGGGGGACAGCCCAAAGACAAGTGCCTTCCTCAGCCTACATTGCATCACCATCTGCCAAAGCTTAAATAAAATCAAGTATATTTTTTAAGTTAACATAAAAATTCTGCCTTTTTATTTTTGGGGAGGTACATAAAATAGCTCTATAAAAAAAAAAAAAAAAAAAAAAAAAAAAAAAAAGTGATCATGCTCTGCCATGTTGTCGCAGCCTGGCTACATTCCCAGGCTGGAGCTCATAGCTTATTGTTAGCTTGCCGCATTCCATGTGCAGCGTCAGGCAGGAGACGTGATCCTTAGCTGGGCGCCGTTCTGTCATCTGCTGCTACAGGTTCATCTTCAGACTTCATTTCAGAGTCTGGGGGTGTGTGATTGTAACGGCAGCCATCTCCAAGGTCACAGGAGCCCTATAGGGGGGGAGAAAGAACAATGCATCTAAGAGGAGTAAGGTTAAAGTGATAGTAGATATCAGTACTTGCTGGCAGTAGATATAGGCAAAAAAACCAGAGGGTTTAGAACCCCTTTAATGCTGATGTTTAATTATTTCCTGGTTGCTCATTTCCCCCTCATCAAATGCTAATATGAAATAAAACCTTTCCATTATTATTACATACCTTATTATAGACCCAGTGATGTCATCACTAGGCCCCTGTGCTTCTTTATGCAATGCAGACAGATCATGACTGGTGGGAGGGGCTGGCAGGGTGCTATACATAGCATCCTGGAATCATCACAGCACCTGCCCCAGTACTCTGCTCAAGGCCCCTCATGCAATCAGTGGGCTGGCTCTTGGGAAGCAATTTCTGTCCAGGAGAGGGAGGGCCGGAGGTCAGCTAGAAGACTCAAGGGAGGGCCGGAGGTCAGCTAGAAGACTCAAGGGAGGGCCGGAGGTCAGCTAGAAGACTCAAGGGAGGGCCGGATGTTCTATGCAGTCTATTGGCTGGAGGACACTTCATATAAATCTCACCTGTCTGAACTTCTTGCAAGGAAACTGTTTGAAGTTGACTTCTTCTGGAGAGGATTTCCTCTTGTTTTGGTGTTGCTTCCTCCTCTCTTCCAGACTGATGGAAATGCCGCCACTGACAATACATATATGATGGAACATGGTCAATAAATATGACACTTGGGGGAAAAAAATCCCCCAAAACTGTATTTAATAACCATTGACCGAGACTAGAGTTGCCCCTTCAATGTGCCACCAGAAGTCATGTGATGTCATTACCCGGCTTTAGCTCGCGCTTTCGGGCCCCAATTAGCCTCGGGGTTCTCCTGGAACCTCTTTAAACCCAGTTTTCGAGACTTTGGATTGGCATCTTGCCGGACCTCGAAGTTGGCCTGGATCCTGAAAAATATTCAGATTTCCTGATCAGGAGGAGCTCATGGAGAAACGTCCAGGATACAGATGACGGATATACCGACCTGGGCTCCGTACTGAGGATGTGATGTGCTGGACTCGTCTCAGACAACCTTTCCCTCTTCACCGGATTCTGCTTCTCCTACAAACAGGAAAGATCATAAACGATCAGTTCGTCATTTCACCATCCAGGAGATAGATTTAGGCTGCTTCTATTGGCTGGAATTCAAAAGCTCACTGGACTACCACTCCTATCAGATCTAAACCACACTAGCAGAATTACCCTGAAATGACCTAATGTCCCAGATCAAATCTAACTAAAAACTATGTCGGCATAACTACCCTAAAAGTACAGCACGCAGGACC